GTGGGCTAGATAGACCACGGGTTTGATCTGGTCTTCCAATTGCTAGCATTGTTAGTCTTTGGGTTCTCTTCCAAATCCTGCCACTAACTTGCTGTGTTATGGACAAGTTGCTAAACTTTGCCCGGTTTACCCTACTATAAGTTACTTGCATCCCTTGCAGGTGAGTTGTGAAGCTTGGCAACTGATTATCTGTAAAGTGCTCTGAGAACCTTCACGTAAAGGAGTTATGCAAGTGCTATGTTACCGTTTTGATGTTCACTTGCGTTGGCAGTGCCAATGAATGCTGATGGTGGCACATGCGTTATTGACACATGAGGGCAAAGCTTTTACTGTGCTTTCCTTGAAGCATTCCAGGGGGACGTGGCTGGATTGACGTGGGGAAAACCACTGTAAATAGCTTACAGCATGGTCTAAGGCAGGGGTCGGCAACCTCTGGCATGCAGCTCGCCAGGGTAAGCACCAGGGCAGGTTTGTTTACCTGCTGCATCCACAGGTTCGGCCGATCGCGGCTCCCACTGGCCACGGTTCGCCGCTCCAGGCCGATGGGAGCTGCTGGAAGCCGCGGCCAGCACATCCCTCGGCCCGCGCTGCTTCCTGCAGCCCCCATTGGCCTGGAGCGGCGAACCGCGGCCAGTGGGAGCCGTGATCGTCCGAACCTGCGGACGCGGCAGGTAAACAAACCTGTGCGGCCCACCAGGGTGCTTACCCTGGCGAGCCGCGTGCCAGAGGTTGCCGTCCCTTGGTCTAAGGAATCATGCATAGGACTGGAACTTGAGACTTGGGTTCCAATCCACTCTGCCACTGACCTGCTGTGTGACCTTGGGCAAGTTCCCTTTCTGTGCCTTCCACCCTTTTGTCTTGTCTATTTCAACGATATGCTCTTCAAGTTTAAGGCAGTCTCTTGTAATGGATACATATATTTCTTAGCACGATGGGGTCTCTATCTTGATTGGTTACCTCTAGTCACTACTGTAATACAAATAACTAGTGCCTATACTGGGTTCTGACTTGCTTACTGTGACAAGGACAGGATTTGACCCAATGTATTATACTCTCAACTTAAAATAAAGCAGCACTATCTGAGGTTTACCAGTATGGAGCACACAAGATTTGAGTTGAACTGGTGAGCTAGAGGGGAAAGGCTCCCTAGACAATTACCAGTCCCTTAAGCCCCATTGCACTTCCCCCCCCCATCTCTCCAATTGATGTTTCTCCACAATTTTCCTCCTCGTCCAACTGGTAAGTAGCCTCCAAGAGTGAAAACTACTCTTCTGTGTCAATTGGCTAGTGAGTGGTTGTAAAGTGATCGTTCCCCTCTATTTGACATTAGTGAGGCCTCATCTGGAGTACTGTGTTCAGTTTTGGGCCCCACACTACAAGAAGGAAAAATTGGAAAGAGTCCAGTGGAGGCCAACAAAAATGATTAGGGGGCTGGAGCACATGACTTGTGAGGAGAGGCTGAGGGAACTGGGATTGTTTAATCTGCAGAAGAGAAGAATGAGGGGGGATTTGATAGCAGCCTTCAACTACTTGAAGGGGGGTTCCAAAGAGGATGGAGCTCAGCTGTTCTCAGTGGTGGTAGATGACAGAACAAGGAGCAATGGTCTCAAGTTGCAGTGGGGAGGTTTATGTTGGATATTAGGAAAAACTTTTTCACTAGGAGGGTGGTGAAGCACTGGAATGGGTTACCTAGGGAGGTGGTGGAATCTCCTTCCTTAGAGGTTTTTAAGGTTAGGCTTGATAAAGCCCTGGCTGGGATGATTTAGTTGGGGATTGGTCCTGCTTTGAGCAGGGGGTTGGAGTAGATGACCTTCTGAGGTCCCTTCCAACCCTAATATTCTATGAAAGTACTCTGACAATGGATCCACACCCTGCTCATTCCACTACTCTAGCCACTACTATAGTCTTCACCATCTTGTGATGTAGTGATATAAGATCACGTTGTGTGGGACATCAGACTCTGATGCTGTGTCATGTGACAAAGTTGCAATGTTGTCTTGTGATATCGTGCAAAGTCAGACCGAACTGAGGTCTGTAATCTGTCGAAGGCTTGCTAGCAAGAAACTGGACGGCACCATGAACATCCAATTCCTTCCAGGAAATTCAGGATGCATGGTAATGCTAACGGAACCCCAAATCTGTCATGTCCCAAGAAGTACCTGACTCCTTTTGTTTTGAGGAGTCAACCTACAGCTAATTCCGGAGTGCTGTGGTGACTGCCAAGATTCTAGCCTGGCTCAAGCCACTCTCCGCACTTCATAATGAGGTTTTGAGAGAGTTTTAACATCTTGGTGTTGGCAAGAACCACGATTTGAAATTGCTGTGTACTTGGAGACGAGCTGGCTCTGGGCACTGGTAATGGGACAGAGGCTTTCATCTCCAGGTCAAATACAGCTGAGTTGTTAGTGACAAAGTCGTAATCTTCTGACTGCTGGTTCAGGGCTTAAGCCAGGCAAGATGGGCTTTGGGCTGCCAGTACTGGACTCTGAGTCAGGAGGCCTCAGTTCTGTTCCTGACTCTGCAAAAGATGTTCTATGAGACCCTTAACAAGGCATTTAATGTTGCTGTGCCTTAATTTTGTCATCTGTAAAAAAGGACTGCGGGCCTATCTATAGGTTAGGCTTGGTGAGAGGCTTATCTCCTTATTGATACCTGTGGACGGGAAGTGCTGTAGAAGTGTGAAGAACTA